ATGACTTTATAACAATCAGAACCAGAATCAGAAAAACTTTAATGATCGCTGCAGGAAAAATCAAGTCAAGTTCATTTTTTTATTCACGCAGCATCAAAATCACAACACAAGCTACAAGACCCTTTTCAAATAGAGCGGCCCCCCACCCACCCCACACCCCATGAAGGAACCATGAGAGAGGCAAGTTGAAAAAGTAAAAACTACTATAAAATAGTAATAATGATAATAAATACACAGTAAGTGAATGATGAAAATGTGCAAATTAAAGAGTGACGTGCGAAGCCAGAATCACATTATGGACAAAGGTGCAAAAAATGGAAACTTACAAAGTAGATTAACAGTAAATTAACAGTAAATGTGAAAACTAAAGTGATGAAAGTGTCGTTGTGGTTCAGCCGGTAAATGAAAAGTAGTTTAACAGCAGAGCGCCGGTGGAGCTGGGTTGTGTTATATAACTGGATGACCACAGGGAGGGAGGACCTCCTGCGGAGCACTTAGTCATTCTGAGTCTGTGGTGTCTGAACCTGCTCACTTGTGGCCGACCACGACGCTGTGTAGAGGGCGGAGACGCTCGTCATGATGAAGAGGAGATTTGACAGCTTCCTCTTCTCCGTGACTCAGGCAGAGGGTCCAGCCCCCCCCCCCCCCCCCCCCCCCCCCCCCCCCCCCAAGGTCTCTGTTTAAAAGAGGCTCAGGTCAGCAGAAAGCTGTTTGAACATCGTGCAGCGTTTAGCAGGTAAAGAGTCGGATTTCCGCTCAGGAGTCGGTGGACGACAAAATCAGCAAAAAGGACAAAGACTAATAAACTTATATTCTCTCCATCAGAACACAACTCCAAATGAATAGTGCTGCTCTGTGTTGCCGGATGTGTAAATAAGCCAGTGTTTGCTAACACTTAATAAGGTGATAATTATTTGAGGTTGTGTTTCTAGCTGCTTCCCCTCAGGCGAACCAAAACCATGAATTTGTTACACACACACACACACACACACACACACACACAAACTTGAGGAGGGAGGCGAGACCAGACGTGCTCATACTGTCAAACCACTTCATTGCTGGCCCTGGCGCCTAATTATGCAATAAAAGTGCCTCAGTTGGGGGGTGGGGGGGGGGCTGGACCTTCTGCCTGAGTCACGGAGAAGAGGAAGCTGTCAAATCTCCTCTTCATCATGGACGACGTCTCCCGCCCTCTACACAGCGTCGTGGTCGGCCACAGGAGCAGGTTCAGCCACAGACTCAGAATGACTAAGTGCTCCGCAGGAGGTCCTCCCTCCCTGTGGTCATCCAGTTATATAACACAACCCAGCTCCACCGGCGCTCTGCTGTTAAACTACTTTTCATTTACCGCTGAACCACACGACACTTTTCATCACTTTAGCTTTTCACATTTACTGTTAATTTACTGTTAATCTACTTTGTAAGTTTCCATTTTTTGCACCTTTGTCCATAATGTGATTCTGCTTCGCACGTCACTCTTTAATTTGCACATTTTCATCATTCACTTACTGTGTATTTATTATCATTATTACTATTTTATAGTAGTTTTTACTTTTTCACTTGCTCTCTCATGGTTCCTTCATGGGGGTGTGGGGGGGTGGGGGGGGCCGCTCTATTTGAAAAGGGTCTTGTAGCTTGTGTTGTGATTTGATGCTGCGTGAATAAAAAATGAACTTGACTTGATTTTCCTGCAGCGATCATTAAAGTTTTTCTGATTCTGGTTCTGATTGTATAAAGTCATTTAAAAGTATAATAAGTTGTTTCACTCTGCCAAAGTGGGTCTTCTGCAGTAAAAATGGATGGAGGACTTTACATGGAGCGGCACAGGAGGTAGAGCCGGTTGTCTTGTAATCACAAAGTCGGTGGTTTGATTCCCGGATTCTCCAGTACACATGTCGAAGTGTCTTTGGGCAAAATACTGAACCTCAAATTGCCCTGATGTATCACCAGTGTGACAAAAATGTGGGTGATTACAGCTCATTGAGTGGTTAACAAGGTTAGAAAAGGTGTCCAGTTGCTTGTTTTGTTTTTATTAAAAACTTTGCGACAGGTCACTTCTTGCAAATAAATGCAAATGAAGTAAAAAAAAGCACCTTGAGGCTGAAGAGTCTCCCCCTCACTGTCTGGGTAAGTGGTCTAAAACCACTTCCCACAGAGACCCTGGAGGTTTGTGCAGCAGCCCAACTGTCTGCAGCAGAACGTTTCCTCCT